GACATGGCAGCGGGTATCTATCCATTACCTTGACTTCCGTGTTAAACACTGGGATGGATGCGAGTCACCCCACCCAACTAGTGATGGAAAGTGCGATTCATTTCCGCGAATCGGTTCTTTTGAACAGTTAACGGAGCGCTTCGAAAACGAACACTTCTGATTCGTCTACGTCATTCTGACATCCTAGCGTGACATATGAAATGTTTTGAAGTTTGATTAACAACTGTGTTTATTGTAATTTTGTGTGTTCCAATTCCGTTTGTTGCAGCCATGACATAAAACAGCAATAATTTAGAACCTAAATATAATTTACAGTTACATTACACAATACTATAATTTGTTTACATCTTAGCTGAAGTTTTACATCCAACTATTCTTGTTTGAAAACTTCGATATAATTAAGTCGTAAATACATGTCCAGGAGGTATTTATAAAACTTCTACTATTCGGCTATTAATGAGTCAACGACCGAAGAACCTCTCAGATCGATTCACTGAAACGAACCGACTCACAAGAACAATTCGTTCACGAATCCAGCATCGCTACACCCAGCCCACATTATGAGCCGCAGCCCAGATCAGCCACTATCCTCCATGAGGAAAATAGAGGAGACGCTTGATAAAAACACTTTTTGTTTTATGTTTTTATTATTATTATTATTAATAATACTGTTTTTGCACGCATGTAACCAATGTCAAGCTCCCACGTTTGTAAAATTGGGCTCTTTAGATTAAAACAATAACAAAAATAAAAACTCACTAAACCCAGAATTACAGGGAGACAGTGAAGTAACATCACTTAAGTACAATACAGCTTTTACGTTGGCAAACCATAAAAGGCAAAATATCCGCAATAAATACATATATTTCCCCTATTTCGACGCCCGAACGAACAAACGGGATACCTGATGCCACTCCTTAGAACCAGACACTGTGAGAAGAATCATTCATTACTTTTTAATAACCGCTTTCATGTCAATGAAACGATGCAGCCTCAATGGCTTTGAAAATTCGGGGGAAGGTAGATTTGCGATGGATTGCACTCATATTCATGCAGAAATTGCGAGAAATGCTGGCTCACTACACAGACACAGTACAGTACTGGTCCAAAGGATGCGTCAGCAATAGGCCGTCGGGTTCAATCTAACGCAGAGCATCTATTGGTACAGCCACATCTATAAGCACCCGAGCATCCTTCGGCAACATCTTAATCTGTTTCCAAAGCGAGCGAGTCATCAGTGACCCGAATGCGCTACTCACTGTGAGTCCGGTGCCCAATACGATAACATCATATTCCTCATCCATGTTGTATTACAGTGGATCTCCCGTCTTTAGCCAAATTTACTCTGCAAAAAAATCAGCAAAACGGTGTTGATGCAACAAAATATTTATGAAGAACCAGTCCGTTGTCTTATTAGCGGCAAAAACGACCACTTTGGAAACAATTATCGCTCAAATAATTTGATACGTATCACAATTGATCGCTGACTGTTGTGCGACCGGCGAGAACAACCAAAGATGGCCCTGACCGCAGCACGAGCTCCAGCGGTGCGGAGACGTTCGCGAAATAATATAGTGCAACTCCCTAAACGGAGATGATCAATGTTGCTGTGAATGTCATCAACTCCGAGTTACAATTAAGCCGTAAATATAAATTCTTTAAAAATATCAACGCTAGTTCACATCCTGGGTAATCTTATTGAATACATTTTGACTACGCTCGGTGGCACTTTCATTTCCCCATCTTCTGAATGGCACAGGGCGCAGTCCAGTACCAGATATCCCTCCGCTGACAACACTGTGGATGATGAAGCCTCTCTCAATAATTCGTGAATTAACGAATGATTCATGATTAAGATCAGATCTGTTTTAGTGTTTTGCAAACGAATATTTCCACGTATATATCAACATACTCATAATAATATGTGATCTGTCAGTTATTAATATAAGCGTGATTTAAAATGCGATCTATGATAGAGACTACCTGTCAATATTTAAGCCCAATAAAGTTGTCCTGAAATTACAGCGTCATCCCAATGTATTCCAGGTGTTTAGAGACAAATGCTAACTTTACATTGAGTATTAAGAAGCATCTCTATGCAGTCTTTCATAGACAAAGGTAGTTTTTGCTGAACTGTTATCAATTTAGTATTTTTATAGGTGCGAGGATACACTTGGATTCTGCAGGTAGCATAAGGGAGACAAACGAGCTAACTTAGATTGTTAAAACGAACTTCCCTGTGGTAAAACAGACAGACAGACATAGATAGATAGATAGATAGATAGATAGATAGATAGATAGATAGATAGATAGATAGATAGATAGATAGATAGATAGATAGATAGACTGATTTACATTACATTTACATTTAGTCATTTTGCAGACGCTTTTATCCAAAGCGACTTACAATTGGGGAATACATGCGATTCTTCTTAAAGAGGCAAACAGACACAGAAGTGCTCATAATACCAAGTTTCAGGCATTTGTTCAAAGAAGTACAATAAGACAACGGTTTTTTAAATTTAGGATAGATAGATAGATAGATACATAGATTGTGAAACCATATAAAGTTCCAAATCGAACTTAAATGTAAAAGTTCATTTTTTAACGTTTGTAATCATTATGGCGTTTTAAATTGAAGATGATTTATAGAGGCTGGATGTTATTTTTCTTGCTTTCCTAGCAAATAATGCAAATGTAGTTGGTTTATTCTTATGATGTTCGGCGTTGCGACCATAGACTGTATAACGCTGCATCTCGCGCCTGCGCACTGTTCAGAGGACGTGAACGAATCGAGTCAGAAGAGAATCACATGATTAAAGGGGGAAAAAACAGTCACATGATCACCCCTGTATCTGCTCTTCAGGTTGAAGTGGGTGAAATGCCGTTAAATCAGACGAAAGCAGTTAATGATGAACTACTGGGTAAATCTTCAAGGTCATTCAGAAGTCCGCAATCCAACAGTAAAAGTACTCTTTCCGTGCTGGGAAAAGGAAAGGTCTAAACAGAAGTGTTTTGCATGGAATAGTGACAAAGAAGCTAGAGAAATGATTTTAAGTCATAAAAGATACATTCCTGCAGTACCGTTATCAATAACGCCACCTTGGATGTTTCCTGCAGTACTCATAGATTTGTATATGCTGGAGTTAATGAAAGAACCTGAAAACATTGTAGCTGTTGTTGAAGATAGACTACAAACTGTATATCAAGTATTTGTTCCAGTATATACTGATGGATCTAAAGATCTTAATACAGGGAGAACAGGTTTTGCATTCAGTATTCCATCCTTAAACATTTTTGTTAATAGGAGAACATCAGATCATTTATCAGTATACAGTAGAGATGATGGCAATAGCAACAGCACTACAGTGGATAGAGGAGACTCGCATCAAAAAGGTTATACTTTGTACAGATTTATGTTCGACATGAAAGTCATTGCAATCATTCACATCTCATAGTAGACAGGATATAGTAAATGAGATATATGAAAATCTGTATAGATTTAAGAATATGAATATCATGATAATATTTATGTGGATACCAGCTCATAGGGGGATAAAGGGTAATGAAAAGGTTGATGGATTAGCAAAACAGGCATTGGAAAATGAGGATATCATGAATATCTCACTTAGTAAATATGAAGCAAAAGCAGTAAATAAAGCATATACCACTAAGGAGTGGCAACAGAAATGGGATACAGGAAATACAGGACGTCAACTTTATGAAATACAGCGAGAAGTAGGAGTCGTGAGAATAACTAAAAGAAGCACCAAAAAGGAAAATATTCTAACAAGATTAAGGGTTGGGCATACTATGCTGAATAAAACCTTAAAAATAATAAATAAACATCCAACAGGATTATGTGAGCACCACTGTGGAATGGAGGAATCAGTAGAACATGTTATTTGTGTTTGTCAAAAGTATACTAATGAATGAGAAACAATGAAGAATGAATTTAGAAAGATGGGAGTGGACCACCTAAAGATTAAAAATATATTTACTTATGGACTAGAAAGTTTATTTTTGTATCTTAAGAGAACAGAGCTGATTAAGAGAATTTAGAGGGAAAAATCTTATTGAGGTAAAGAAGGAATATTATTATTAGTAGTATTATTTTGTCCTCTTATAATGAAAGGGAAAACTCTGGTTCACACTCCAATACAGTAGGTGGCGATAATGCCCCTTAACATGGGTGCTACCTGCCATAAAACCGAAGAAGAAGAAGAAGAAGAAGAAGAAGAAGAAGAAGAAGAAGAAGAAGAAGAAGAAGAAGAAGAAGAAGAAGAAGAAGAAGAAGAAGAAGAAGAAGAAGAAGAAGAAGAAGAAGAAGAAGAAGAAGAAGATATAGTGATGCGTCAGAGATATTGCTAAAGAAACTAGATAGAATACAATACAGAGCACTTAGAATGTGTTTAGGAGCAGTCAAATCAACACTGGTAAATGCTTTAATCGTTGAATCGAATAAATTGCCACTGAATTTGCGCAGAGTGAAATTGTCATTGGCATATTGGACATCTATTAAAAGTTATGCTGGAGACAATATTGCTAAAGATGTTCCAAAAGACTGCTGGGAGTATGCGAGTAAAAACGGAAGAGGATTTGGGTGGGATATAAACCAGTTAGCAAAAAAATACCAGATATCTGATATAGTATGCAGTATTTCTCCAGTATGGCATGAAGTGCCCATATGGATAATACCTGAAGCAAAAATTGATCTGGAGATTTTGGACAAGAGAAAGGAATGGGACAATAGCACAGTAGGTGGCGATATGCGCAAAGATTGCAACTCGCCATAAAACCAAGAAGAAGAAGAAGAAGTCTCATGTTTTTTATTTATTTATTTATTTTTATTTTTAATTATTATTGTTATTTTTCAAACATAATATCCTTCTCTCTACCAAATCGGTTCACTCCACACTCCAGACCAGTAGGTGGCGGTAATGCACCTTTAAGTTGGTTTGCCAAAACCACCAATAAACAGAAGAAGAAGAAGAAGAAGTCACATGATGATCAGCCGTTCACGTGACTCTCCTGCAGAATGACGGAAGTAGGAATGCGGCGCAGTAGTCTCTCAACAATGGCCTTCACGTCGGTTTTATTATTTATCTGCTCGACTTATAGCTGTTATGCTCAAGCGCCTCTGCTCATGTGGACCAGTGAGGGGTACGTTACACGTTTGTCTCTTGAATATTGCTTTCTGATGGACTTCTATAGTAACTCCAGAACACTGCTGTGCTTTTCTTATATATGTTCAGGCAGCTAAATCAGCTTCATTACAGTGGACAAGGTTTCAAGGCAGCCTGATTCTGTTGAGGGGAGTCGCAAACTGAATGATATCTTTGTCAATACAGGTCCAACATGCCACATCTGGCTCAACCAACAGCTGGTCAGACAGTGTCTGGTGGGCAGCTGGCGTCTTATCTGAAATCTGCCTTGTCCACTGCTCCACACAATGTGCTGCTCTTCCTGCAGGATAAGGTCAAATGCCCCACATGTTTACAATGGGGGCTAAAATAATGTCCCTGCATTGCGTTCTTGTGTTTTATCTGCTATTTAGAATTTTAGACATTTATACAATATTATCTAGTTATATTACGATTTAAATTGATTGAAGTATATGAAAGTGAACTATGTGGTGTATGATGGAAAAATGTCCTCTTAAAGGTAATAATGCCCTTTAAAATCAATTCCACACATTGTCCTTATTGTTAATTTTATATGTCAATAATATTGACATTATTGAAAAGCTTTACAATGGGATCAGTGTAGTAGGAATGTATTTTACAATGTGGAACTATTAGTGAAGTAGTTTCCTCCTCTCACACTGATATTTTTATTCTCCTAGTTACTGGACTTGTCAGTATAGTGTGACTTTGAGCCACAGTAATGTGGTGTATGATGGAAAAATGTCCTCTTAAAGGTAATAATGCCCTTTAAAATCAATTCCACACATTGTCCTTATTGCTAATTTTATATGTCAATAAGATTGACATTATTGAAAAGCTTTACAATGGGATCAGTGTAGTAGGAATGTATTTTACAATGTGGAACTATTAGTGAAGTAGTTTCCTCCTCTCACACTGATATTTTTATTCTCCTAGTTACTGGACTTGTCAGTATAGTGTGACTTTGAGCCACAGTCTTACTTCCCCATTCATCTTCCCTGGGACATACTAGGATTTCATTACCCTTGTACAATTTTGATCATCTGCAGACTCAGTGATACTAATATAACCGACTTTTTGCCTGCTCTCCCCAATTTATAGCTAAGTATGGAAGACTTCACTATGTACGGTGGAGTGTTTGGCAACAAGCAAGACAGTGCCTTTTTGAATGTAGAGGTGGGTGTGTTCTGTTTTTTTTTTATTCTGGCGGGATAGCACAACTAGACTTCTCTCAACATTCTCGTCAACATTTTTCTCTCTGTATTAAAGTCAGCACTTCAGACGTCCTCCAATCCCCTGGTGTTGCCAGCCCTGGACTGGTCTGCATCAAATTCCATCCTGGAACTCCTCCAGGGAGAGCTGGGTATCCCAGCAGTCCAGATCGACCCCAGCACCCTGAAGGAAATTAAGCTGAACACCGCACAGCCTTCACTACTGGCTGTCCATCTCCCTTACACTGCTGGGTAAGATGTTCTGTAATGTTATTTATATTATACAGTGTCTTTCAAAAAGGGTTCAGATTCTTTTCATTTGAGTAACTTTCTGCAACACAGAAACTAAAATATAGCCTTTTCAGCTGTTTCAAAGAATACATTCTAAAACAAAGTCATGCCAAAATGATAGGTTTTGTGTTTCAGAGCTTTGAAATAAAACAAACACAACCCAATATTTCAGTAAAATGAAGGAATTGATTAATGTCTGAATGCTTTTGCAAGGCACTCTGAATTTCAGTAATAATGTTAAAATGTTAACTTCCCTTTTTGTACTGTTGATATTGTTAAAACCTAAAAATCATTTAGTTTTTGAAATGAAATATAAATATTGGAGGAAAGCAGAAGCATAAAAAACCTAAATGAAAATTAGTTTTTGTACTGTTGATATTGTTAAAACCTAAAAATCATTTAGTTTTTTAAATGAAATATAAATATTGGAGGAAAGCAGAAGCATAAAAAACCTAAATGAAAATTAGATATGTTTCCTTGGCCACAACAACAATAAAAAAACAACTGAAAGCTAAATCTAAATGTAAAAAAAAAATGAAAATGACAAAATAGTATAACAAAATTACTAAAAGAATAACACAGTATTCAGTCATTTAAATGTTAATAAATACTATAATAGTATATAAATAATACAAAAATAACACTCTTTTTAATTTTTTGAATGTCAGGGATCAGACAAAGGAATTGCTTTTGAAAAATGGTGAGTAGTTACATTTTTTTTTAATCAGGTTTGATAATGGTTTTAGTATAATGATTGTGTATTGCTTTTTATGGTTTTTATGGTTTTACTGTGTTTGTCAGTATTGTTGTACTTTACTATAGTATGTAAGATCTCTTTTCTGATTAGATGCGATCATGGGAGAGGTCCTCGACATGTTCAAATCTCAGGATGTGCCTTACACCGCTGTATACACCGGCCTGAAGCCTTCTAGAGCAAGTCCTCATTTTTTCTGTACATTTACATGAATGCATTTCAAAGATGCTTATACCCAAATAAGGAAAATCACAAGGACAAAGTTAGTTTATACTGCACTTTGTTCTCTCACATTATGTTCCTTTTCATTTGACACCATCAATTCACGACAGCTTTGATGAAACCCTGAACAAAAATGTCTTTTGTCATTTATCCTTCTTTTGTAGGTCATTGAGGACACCCCAGTAATGGCAGGACATTCTGTGGGCCGATCGCTACTTCAGGCACCACCAGAGTCACCTGTGAATCCCCCACTTGTCGTCAACAACACAGCGGGGCAGCCCTGCATCCTGCTGTGGGCCGACACTCTCCTCGCTAGTTACTCTGGGAACCAGGTTGATCTGGCAAGAGACATTTTTAATGGTTCTGCTGATGTCACGGCTGGTTCTGTTTGCAATGAAACACTGTCACGGTCAGAATCATAATGAAGCAGAATCCAGTATACATTAATATATTTTTCAATGCTTTTCTCTTGAAAGTATCAAATATTTTGTTTTTCAGACTCATCCTTAATTACCGAAATGTTCTGAATTTCCGATCCCTCCGGCTTATGTGAGTATTTAACACACAATCCTTCATTGATATGTATTATTTGTGATTTTGAAGGATCGATACACAATATTGATCGGACATTGCAATACTTTCGCAATATTTTGAACAGATAATACATTTTTTAATGAATTAACATCGGTCCCCATGTACTGGCCAATAGCAACACCAAAATAGAAATATTAATCTTGAAATTATCTTGAAAACAAAAACAACCCCCCCCCCCACACACACACACAAAATTATGTTAAGCACATATACTTGCACGCTGTGCCTTACTTAATACATAAAAAAAGTGTAAAATGTATTTTATTTTTTTTATTACTAATTATTAATAAACATGGAAGCTTTTTCAAGATTTCTGAAGGATCATGTGACACTGAAGACTCGAGTAATGGCTGCTGAAAGTTCTGCTTTGCCATCACAGGAATATATACAATTTTAAAATATGATAAAAATGTAGTATTATAAAATATATTTTATAATCAAATAAGCTTTTGATGAAAATCAAATGAAGTTCTTAGCAATGCATATTACTAATCAAAAATTAAGTTTTGATATATTTACGATATATTAATATCCTAATGATTTTTGGCATGAACGAAAAATCGTTTTGGCTATTGCTAAAAATATACCCAAGCAACTTGAGACGGGTTTTGTGGTCCAGGGTCACATATATTGTCACACTAGTGTTGCTTTCGTCAACGAAAATTATGACGAAATATAGTCGTCAACGAACCTTTATCACGTGACGGTTATCCCGCTCTATGTGCGTGTGTGCTCCGCTCAGTCGCTTGCGGCCCATGTGACTGCTCCACTCATATACCGTTCATGCTCATCGACATATATATGAAGGAACATGGGTTACCACTGAATATTATATGTATTTTGTATTTGTAAATTAACATTGGTCTAGATCAGGGGTGGCGAACGTCGGTCCTGGAGAGCTGCAGCCCTCAATACATGTAATGTCCAATACAGTTTTTCACTGTATATAGTAGGGGAATTTACCGTTAACCATTTAACAGGATTTTACTGTAGCATTTTTAGTCTTTTAATGTTAAATTCAAGGTAATTTTTTACAGTGTAGATAACCCTTAACGAAAACCGTAGAATGAAAAGGCACTTTAAGTACTTCAGCAGGATTTAGCAGAACTTTCAGTTTAAAATCTGCGCTGAAAATTACATTCTGCAGTGTATCTACTGGAAGGGTAATATACACGTTTTATCCAAATGAAAAGTAACAACAGGCAAAATGAAAACAAAGCCTTAAGCATTGTACAACATTTGGTTTTGTTTGAACAATGTGGATTCCCAAATACTATGAAATAGTTACAAATTCAGACATTCATCTCTTTTAAATTTGATTGACTTTCTACATAAATATTCATGCTAAACGCAGCCCTCGACTAAATCGGTAAGCTAAGGGACAGTCAGTGCACTTTTTTTGTCATGAATCCTTAGATGTTCTCAGGAAGAGTGATCACTGTATTAACAGTGTTAAAAATTAAGAAATGACAAGCATACACTTTATAAAAGTGAAATCAACCTGACTTATGTGACGATGACAGATCTGTTTTAGAGTACAGAATGGGAAAAAAGTTAGAGACTGCTAGAAAGGAGTTTTTCTAAATTAAGCAACAAAGCAACATTGGTTCTGACTATGGAGGAATTTGTTGCGGGAAATCAGTCCGCCTCTTGCCGGGTTCTGGGAAGTGCGTATATATATTTGCAGGATTCTTCACTTGGATTTCATGCAGGACAACTTCATGAAGACCTGTAATTTGAGGTGCAAAAATTACATAAGTCATTCACAAAGAGTAACAGAATAATGCATGCCATTAATTAAGAACAAAGAATGAATTATATAAATGATAACATTCTATATTTTTTTAAAGGTATGAAACCTGGTAAGTCCCAGTTAGCTAGAAGAAAGAATAAGCCGCGTCTTGAAGACACTCGGGGTAGTTGATGAATAAATGACAATAAGCATATGCATGTATGGATATGCTAAATATGTGATGAGGAAGAACCTTCAAAAATCCTAAAGTCTTAACTGACTTTCTTATATTATATCTTATTCTTTCTTACTTTCTGAAATTCTTATATTTTGGGATTGATGGGCTTCTGACATCAGAAATCTGACCGCCCACATTTAAATGGCAATGATGGCTTGTATGATGTTCAGAAACTCTTTTGTGACGTTACAAGGAGGAAGTAGGAGAAGACTTTTTGTCTTCGAGAAAGCTGCATAGTTCCCATGGTCCTTACCAGGTATGTGAGGGAGTTAGAATCCAACCTCATCCATTTTTTCAACCTTTTCATGGTCTGAGCTGCAATCCAAAAGTACGTTAAAGGTCAGCATGTGCATAGACTAATAGCTGGGTATATTAAACCTAAATCCAGCACACATTTACAAGACCTCACCCCACTCTTAAACACAGAAAACCCCTCTACCCGGGGGAATAAACAAAACGGCACACTGCTTCCCATATAGACGATCAGCATAAAGGGTTGCAAAAATGAAGAATTTTTCAAGGTTTGAATTTGAATTTTTATGTACAATGAAGCATTTTGTGGTTTGATACATTACTGCATTTATATTTAATCACCTGCTCAAAAAGGTGACAGTTCACTTTGTCAGCATTCTCTGCTGAAAGGGATTTAAACATTTCTTAAATAATCAAATAAACAACCAAGATGAATCTCAACATTATGTATTCTGATTTGAAGCAAAAAAGCAGGATACAGAATGCCCATGAAGCAATGTGAATGACATGCCTAAAACAAAAACGATACAACAGATTATAAAAATACATCTGACTGCAAAATATTCAGAAATATGCATCCATCTGTTAATATAAGTACTTTTAAGGTATGTTCCAATCACCTGATGGTGAAAAGGTAAAAAAGAGTTTATTTTTTGAGGTGAAAAAGTGAACGTCTATAGAGTATTCACAGCCAGGGGCCCTGTGAATAGGATCACAGCTTGAGAGGGGTAGCTGGAGGGATACGGACTCAATTATGTCATTTGCAATGCTTCATGGGAGCAGAGGTTTCTTTGAAAGGTGGCGTTCTCTGCAGGATTATGGGTAGTCTAGTTCTACACCAGGAAATAGTCACCACCTTTGCAGCTTTGAGCTGCAATCCAAAGTCAGCATGTGCATGATAAACAGCTGGTATATTAATCCTAAACCTCAAAGGCATCTCCATTTCCCATGGAAAATGTGTGGAAATTTCACCCGAACCTTCAAACTGTTTTGCTAACCATGAATGCAAAGTATTAATTTATTACCCAATATGACAGTGTGAGAACAAGAGCCTAGAAAACACATAAGAAGCAACTGAGACAGTGCAGATAACTTACTGTTTCTTGAAACACTTGCAACACACAAGGCACAGCAATCCAACCACAACTGCAAAACAGAAAGGAATTGCATTACAAATGATTAACCTTGATTAAAATAAAAAAAGGATCAAATTCTTATTCTAGTAACATCAGAATCCTACATGAAAGCACAACAAAACACATTTTCTTGAATATTTTACAAATAAAACAAAACCGATACTGTGTGACAACTAGATTGGCCAAAAATGAATTCATTTCCTGTGATGTTGTTAGTGGGAGCATGTTATTTTAAGTGTTCTCAGGCTCTTTCCTGGTTTCGCTAATGGAATGCTACTTGGGTTGTTGGTTGGAACCATTGATCTGTCTAACTAACTGGACTGCTCACGGCTCACTCGTATCAGGCAGTGTTCAAGAAGCGTTCAAGTGGCCATACCGCTATTCCCTATCGACAAAAGGCAGCATTGACTGACAGCCAAACCACTGACCTAAAAATCACCTGATTTGCAGTGTATCAGTGGCACAGGATTATTTTTAGTATACATGTATGTAAACTAATTGTTACTTAAGATGTTATCAGGAATGTTTATGGTCTTTTTGGCCAGGATAAGCGATATGTTGAAATTGTTAAGGTGGGTGTGTCTGCTGCACACTACCTGACGCAGGTAATTTACCAAACACAAAATGCATTTATGAACGTACACTACCAGTCAAAAGATTTTTCATGTTTTTTTTAAAAGAGGTCTCTTCTGCTCACCAAGCCTGCATTTATTTGATCCAAAGTACAGCAAAACCAGTACAATTTTGAAATATTTTTACTATTTAAAATAACTGCTTTCTATTTGAATAATTTAAAATGCAATTTATGCCTGTGATTTCAAAGCTGAATTTTTAGCATCACATGATCCTTCAGAAATCATTCTAATATACGGATTTGCTGCTCAAAAAACATTATTATTATTATTGCTGAAAACAGCTGTTTTTTTGATGAACAGCATTTACCTGAAACAAATCTTTTGTAACATTATAAATGTCTTTATTATCACCTTTGATCAATTTAATGCATCCTTGCTAAATTAAAAAGTATTCATTTTTATAACCTCTAATTTCTACAGAAATTAATTTATGGTTTTTATGCTGTCAAACGCCCTGAAGGATTTTCTGTTTGTCACCAAGTTCGTTACTCAAGTCTTTTTATTTCTTCACATTTACTTTTTGCTTTTCTGTCGTTTACTTTTAACACCCAGTCTTTGAAGTGGTCATTTTGTAGCCAAAGCTCTTGACATGTACAGTTTCCTGGCATGTTTGCCTTAGTTAACGGGTACAGCCTGGTGACTGCATTTGACTTAAGTGATTGCCAGTTGACAATAAAATAAAAATAAATCAAAAATACTTGGGTATAAAATGGCTCAATTCTAAGGATTTTTTCTACTGGCCCGGTTGGGCCAGTGTTTCAAATTGTTACTTGCCCTGCCAACATTTTCACTGTCCCTGCCACAAAAAATAAAAATAAAAATAAATACAATAAAACAAAATAGTTGCTGTTATCAGTTTTTTTATCTATGTTATCTTGTATTCTAATGAATAAGCTTATATGACACCAGTATTTTAGATACCAATAAAATTTGACAATTCTCGATTTCAATTTTAATACAACAGCAAAAACCACTAGCCAAACAAATATAACGTTCAAACATTAAAGACAAGTGACAGCCAGTAAACAAGAACAAATTAACAAATTGTTATTACAATAATTATACCCAGTGCTTGAAGTGAAAAAAAGGTACCCCCTGACCAACCCCCTTATTTAATTTTTTATATTAAATAATTATTGATTGATTGTGGCACTATACATTGTGAATTCTGAAAATTAAAAAGTACTTAAGTAAACGTTTTCAATACCAATAAGCATAAGTCGAGCTGCGATACCAAACAGGACCACAAGAAGCTGCAAAAGACCACTACAGCTCCCGGCCTTGACCTACCTGTCCTGATCCATTCAGAATCACTAAACCACTGACCACCGCAAATCTAAAATGCCTTCAGCCAGCATCCATTATAACACTCTTGCTTTTAAGCCAAATACATGCTGAAATAAATAATTTACTGACATCTGGACGCAGTTTTAATGTTGTTTGAATTCACTTACTGGATTCCTTGGACTTTCCAATTTCAGGAGTTTACCAGTTTAAAATGATGTGATCGCAATAACCTGCTTCTGTTAGCTGTTAAGGTATTGTTTTCATTAGCCTATAATGCACTGATTAAAATTAGTAATCAATAATTAATTATTATTCTGACATAATCTCTCGCTGAAGTAGACCGACTCTGTTCGTATTCATTGACCCCTCCTGGTAGTGTGATATATTGGCATTTCTAATCACCCAGACACTGACGCTTTGACTCGGAGTACCGGCAACATGTCAGAAGTGCCAGTATGCTAAAGACTAAAATAGAGAAGAGCCGGTACTGCGTACCGGTGTGTACTGGCCCACTTCAAGCACTGAGTATACATTTTAATGCTGACAACCATGTTATTAGCTTGGCATGTGGTAGGAAAAAAGTTTGCACACTAATGTTCCAATAAGCCAATTTGAAACTCTCCTGTTAATTTATTATTATCATACGTTATGAACAGAACTGTGATATTTCAAACATACAGAAATACTTTAGCGGAGGTTAGGGTTAGGATAACTAATTTGCTATTAGAGGCCTTTATTCAGAGGCCTATAATTTCTTTTTTCAGGCGAGGTTGTGGTCCCATCGAAACTTGCATATTTTTTCAGAATACAGGTCGCTTTTTATCATCTGAAACGTGCTGCAACTTACACAATGCAATTTACGTTAAGCATGCAAAACACATGCAAACGCACACATTTGGATTTGTGCTGAATGAGGGCGGTATGTCAGTCCAACTGTACATAGCACATTTCTCACACACCAGTAGATCCCGTTACAATTTAAACAAATTTGTTTAGGCTTGACATTTATAAATGCTGTTAATAATAAATGCCACTATAATATACATTAGCTTTACTTTAAACTTTTTTCTTTTCTGTTCTGAATACTGTTAAATTTAAAGGATTTGTTGTGAAGTGAAGGGACCTGAAATACATGTTTATTATACATTAAACATTTTTTGTCTCAATGCTATTTTAGCCCAGTGTGATAATCAGGTGAGACTTATTTTCCAGAAAACAGTCATTATCAAAGAGGAAAAATTTAAATCATATTCTCAGTTTCCTTGCATTTTGTATTATAAAAGATGAGTTGATTGATCAGAAAAAAAAAAAAAAAAAACCTAACTGGCACCAAACCCAGACATTTTAAAGGGACATCAGATGAAAAATTCACTTTTGTTGTTTGGTGTTTGAACATAAATGTGTGTTGGCAGTGTGTGTACACAACCACCCTATAATGCTAAAAATCCACCCAGTGCTTTTTTTTTTCTTAAATCCCCTCAAATCATAACCACTTTCTCAGATCAAGCCATTCAGATTCTTGGCACAGACCCAGGACACCCCACGATTGTTGATTGACTGGTGTTTCAGAATAGACCCTCCCTGAGTGAGCTGTAAACAGTCCGCCATTGTTTCGACGCCGGAGCAGGGACGTAGACAAGAATGTCTTCTAAGTGACTGAGGTGTTTTGTTGTTGGATGCAATCATGAACATAGCAGTCGTCATTTACTCCCGACATCAGAGCCGCTGAAGACGCAGAGGCTTACTTTTGTTTTTTAAGGGAATGCGTCCCCTGATCTACCTTAATGCGTTTGTTCATGCGAATCATTCGTGATCCAGCTTCATCTGGAGTGAGTATAAAATAAAGCAATAAGTCCCAAGAAGCCGTGGTTTACAGTGAATTTATAACAACTAAGCGGCTAAAGTTAACAGTCTAGAGAACGGCTTGTCACCCCATGGAAGAGAGGGGCGTGGTGAGCAGAACTCATTAGCATTTAAAGGGACATGCACCAAAATGGGTCCCTGTGAACAGAGCTGTTTTTGACAATGGTAAAAAGTCGTTTTACACTAGCATTGAGAAATTTTAACCAAAGTACACTTTTCAATAAGACCCTAAAGAATCATACCAACTTGTGGAAAATGGGCATCTGATGTCCCCTTTAAAGCCCAACACTGCAACAACTTAACAGATTTTTTGATTGTATTGAATAAAAAGAAGGTATAGGACATCTAGATTATCAGGTGAATTATGCAGAATGTGACTTACCCACAACACATATACCAATCATTGCGTTTACCCATGTAGCTGCAAAAAAATAAAAAATAAATAACAAATAAGTTAAAATAAATTAAATAAGTAAATGAGTTGTATGGATTAAGACAAAATCAACAGCACAAGACATATCCTTACAACCTATCATAAAATACAAATCACTTTGTAACCCTTATAACAATATTAAACATTACCCAAAAGCAAACTGTCATCTAAAAGAAAGCTTCAATGCTCAACCAGAAATATGATATGACCTGCAGAATGCTCAGAAACCAGCATATTATAGGATACTTTGAATCTCATTTATAGGAATACTACAATTATCAAATATCATAATCCACCAGTGTCATACATTTCAGATAAAAAAAGAACAAGGAGCCAAGGGTGACTGTTTCTGACAAGAGGAATCAGCTCTTTATTGAATAGTATAGTAAAAAAGGTTTTAAAAAAGTAATACTTACACATACTTGAGTATTCTGTGGAAGAAAAATACAGTTAGGAATGAGTAAAAACAGAGGACATTTTAATTAGATGGATAATCTAGATGGAGTAGATTATTAAAAAAAAAAAAGATAGGAAAGATACAGTGGACAGACAGAGTTTAAACAGTTACCAGAGGTATAATTACTCTCTCATGCTAAGAAAAAGTGTTCCCCTAACAGACCCTAACATGAAGAATATGACATTAAGATGTGGTTAGAAAGCAAAACAAGAATCATTCTGTAGTAGAACTGACATTTAATTATGTAAAACTAATAAAATAATGGCC